GACCCCTTGGGGATGACCTTTTGATATTCGGGGATTGAGGAGCAGGATTTTGAAAATGAATATTATGGCCTGGTAAGAACTGAAAAAAAAAACTTGCCAAAACAGGATGCAAATGAGTATTAAGCCCAACAAAATTCAGGAAATAAGTTTGTACAAAAAAAAAAAATAATTTTTCGTGCGTAAAAAATACAAGTGAGACTTGAAAAAGTTGAAGACGAGATATTCCGTTAGAAAAAAATCTTCCCGCCCCGCTCCCATATCAACAAATAGTCGCACCCGTAGAACCAACATACCGTTAATGTTGTCGAGTGTTCAACGTCCAATTTTTTTCCCCGTCATACGGCTTTCAGTAAGTATTAAATTGTTTGTGTTTTTTTTTGTGTGTGCATCATAAATTGATTTTGTGTCATGGACGGATACCCCCATTTACTTTCTATAAAACACAAGAGCAAAAATCTCTTATTAAAAATTCTATATGTGTGTGTGTTCTTGCCTCCTTGTTCTTTTGGACTTGGATCAAGACTGTTCAAAATCATGACATGTATGTGAACGTGCTTCTTTTGTGAGCATCATTAATTTTGTTAACTGTCATTTCTACTTAATATCCAGTAGAAGGAATGCTTTTCAACAGCAAGACTATTTAAGGTCAAGTAATTCGTTACTTGTGATTAGTTTGATAAATATTTGAATGAACATTTAATTTTATAATTTTATCTATTCTATTCTGTTGTTAATTGATAGCATACAATTTTAAGTTTGACGATTTAAAATATTATAATCACATCTACAATGCTGTCATTGTAGAGATCTTCATATACATTGTATTTAATCTTAAAAATGTAATTATAAATGTAAATACTTTCAACTGCTGACCTGTTAAACAATAATGGTTATATATTTTTCTGTCTTTAATTTCATCTATCACATGTCTATTCTTAGTACAGTCATGATTAAGTGGAAGTGGAGAATATTTACTCTTGATTTATTAGTTAGTTTTATATATTAGGCTTAAATACTATATCAAAGCCAATGATCACTTGATACTTTATCCCTATATATCGGTGCAATCAAACATTTTAATAACCTTTCTGATATACCTGAATATTTCGAGCTTATAGATATTTATTATCTTCTGGACGGGTTGTACAATTAACATTGTTAAACAAGATTCTTTGATTAATCACACCTATCATATAAGCTTCAAATTTCCAAATAAATTTTGTAGAAATATTTCCAACTTGGTAAATTTCAATACATCTTAACTTGGCAGTACATCCTATATCGCCAGAGTGATAACTTATGAAGCTTAAGAAATGGAATTATAGTGTCACTCTTTCCAAAAACTTAACATGAACCATTAGAAAAGAAACTAGTATGATTCTGATTTCACTACACACAATGCTGTTTCTGGAATAGAATTCTTCTTATGTTATACGAATTATTAGGAAAGTTGAAAATAATTTACTTTTGATAGCATAAAATTCGGAAGCAAAAGCTGTCAAGTGTATTAGGTTTTTGATATTCAAATATTTTTTCCTTGAGCATCACTGAAGAGACATTTGTGGGCAATAAAAATAGTACTGTTAATGTAATTAATTTACTTGCAGTAGTTTGTTAATTGGAAACCAGAGTAAAGTTGGGATTTGTTCCAATGATAGACATGTCTTTTATTTGTTTTTTTTTTCAGTTTTGCTATGGTAACTCTTCTACTTACCCACCGTTTCCTACCATTCATAAATTATGTACACTTTACTTAATACATATAATAAGAACAGACACACTGAAACTGAAAGTCCTTTCTGATACGAAATTATGCCACCCTACACTCTTGTGGACTTGTATGTACTTAATATGATTTTACTGAGCAACATCATTTACATAACAGGAACATTTCCAAATCCAAGTCTTGATGATTGTTTACCAGTGCAGTAGTTGGTAAAGGAGTAGGGATGATTAGGTTACATTTTTTTAACACTTGAATTGAAAGCACAAAGTATTGTAAATACCAAACAATATTTTTCAGATATTCTCAAGAAATATGAATAAAACCAGATGTGGCAGTGGCGGATACATAAATATCAATGAGCCAATAACTCAACACAAATAACCAAAAGACACACAGAGGGCAAAATAGTCTTCAACAATAGACAGGTTTCTGTACAACATAGTCTTCAACAATAGACAGGTTTCTGTACAACATAGTCTTCAACAATAGACAGGTTTCTATACAACATAGTCTTCAACAATAGACAGATTTCTGTACAACATAGTCTTCAACAATAGACAGATTTCTGTACAACATAGTCTTCAACAATAGACAGGTTTCTATACAACATAGTCTTCAACAGAACATAAGTTTTTAATGACATAGAAATCTCTCTATTTGCCTTAGTACAAAAGAGTTGTGATTAAAAACAAACTTTCAAATATGGACAGTAATCTCGAATAAAGTGATATAAGATTATACTTTGCACAAGGCTAAATTTAGACGGAATTAGAATTCACATTGCTTAGAATTTGTGATTTCTGGTTGGTAATTATGTTTGGTCTTGTCATATAAATTTCATTTCTATACACTTTTCACAGTAGACAACTTTGGCGTATCAAACCATGATTAATCCTGTACTGTAGTGTCATTTTAGAATTAGATTGTTAAATCAAAGTACCTGTAAGCACTGAGCAAGGAACAGATTGATCATATTCTAAATTGTGAAATTAATACACTGCATTCTTTAAAAAAGAAACATTTTAAGTCAATAGTTTGAAGTGATTTATCTCCCTTTGACCATGGTGTCTATTATTTGCAACTTGTGTAACTTTGAATGAAACTGTTATCTAAACTATTATGGTAATACGCATACACATTACTTTGTTAACTGAGTATCAGCGTCTTTATTATGAATCAACTGCTTGTCTTGGACATTGAAAGGCCCTACAGGATGGTCACTATATTATGTGTACTCATAAACTTAGATAGTCTAAGAGTAGGTTGCTGTTATATAGCTACCAACCCACCTAACAGTGTCTTAGAGATTTGATTGCACATTGTGCTATTTTTTACCCAAAACAATAGACCACCTCAACCTCATTATCTTTTCTCTAAAATAGCCTAAATTATGGAAGATAGCGTAATTAACTATGACATTTTTATTATTTAATAAAATGCTCCGCAGGGCGCAGCTTGATACGACCGCAGAGGTCGAACCCTGAACAGTTGGGGCAAGTATGGACACAACATTCAAGCTTGATACAGCTCTGAATTTGGATTGTGATTAAATATTTGACACAGCATAGGTTTCTGACACAGAATGAATGTGGTCTAAGAACTTAAAAATTTTAAATTGGACATTCACCTATTATGGTCCAATATCCAAAATCTAAATACATGGTTAGATTCAGCATATCAAAGAACCCCAAGAATTCAATTTTTGATGAAATCAAACAAAGTTTAATTTTGGACCCCGATTTGGACCAACTTGAAAACTGGGCCCATAATCAAAAATCTAAATACATGTTTAGATTCAGCATATCAAAGAACCCTAAAAATTCAATTTTTGTTAAAATCAAACTAAGTTTAATTTTGGACCCTTTGGACCTTAATGTAGACCAATTTGAAAACGGAACCAAAAATTAAGAATCTAAATACACGGTTAGATTCGGCATATCAAAGAACCCCAATAATTCAATTTTTGATGAAATCAAACAAAGTTAAATTTTGGACCCTTTGGACCTCAATGTGGACCAATTTAAAAACGGGGCCCAAAATCCAAAAACTTAATACACGGTTAGATTCAGCATATTAAAGAACCCCAAGAATTCAAGAATAAAACCCCATTGAAATTGATCAAGAAATAAGCAATTTATACGAAGTACCTTCTTTTGCACAATACTGTGCAATTGAATATTTCTTGCTATTGCGCAATACTGTACAATTGACAATTTCTTGCTATTGCGCAATATTGTGCTATTGGATATTTCTTGCTATTGCGCAATACTGTGCAATTGAAGATTTCTTGCTATTGCGCAATACTGTGCAATTGAAGATTTCTTGCTATTGTGCAATACTGTGCAATTGAAAATTTCTTGCTATTGCACAATACTTATTAGATAATAATTTACACATCCTGTTTGGTGTGTATCTCCTACCATATCATTATTATTTGCTTTTAAATATTAATCAGAAATAACCAACTTAAAATGGAAAATTTTAAAAGAAAAAAAAAAGGAAAAAAAGAAAAAAAAAGAAAAAAAAAAAATCCCCCCCCAAATTTTTTGAACCCCCTTATGATTCATCACCCCCAAACTCAATCCCAGCCTTCCCTTTGTGGTATGGTACCTTGCAGTACAATTTCAGAGAGATCCATACACTTGAACACAAGTTATTGTCTGGAAACTAGAAAAATGCTTATTTTTGGCCCCTTTTTGGCCCCCAATTCCTAAACGTTTCGGGAAATTACCCCCAAACTCAATTCCAGCTTTCCCTTTGTGATATGGAACCTTGTAGTACAATTTCAGAAATATCCAAACACTTACACACAAGTTATTGTCATGAAACTAGAAAAATGCTTGTTTTTTGCCCCTTTTTTGGCCCCTAATTCCTAAAATTTTGAGGCAACTACCCCCAAAATCAATTACAGCCTTTCCTTTGTGATATGGAACCTTGTGGTACAATGTCAGAGAGATCCATACACTTACACACAAGTTATTGTCTGGAAGTTACAAAAATGCTTATTTTTGGCCCCTTTTTGGCCCCTAATTCCTTAACTGTTGGTACCATAACCCCCAAAATCAATCCCAACCTTCCTTTCGTGGTATTGAACCTTATGGTAAAATTTCATGGAGATCCATTCACTTAAACTAAAGTTAGAGTGCGAAAACCAATGTGTCTTCGGACGACGCCGGACGACGCCGGACGACGACGACGACGACGACGCCGGACGACGACGACGCCAACGTCATACCAATATACGACCAAAAAATTTTTAATTTTTGCGGTCGTATAAAAATATATATTGTGTGAATTGGCAAGAATATATTGAATTAATTCGATTCATTACTGCTATCAGAATCTGAATAATTTCCTAAGAGTCCAAGTCCTGAGGGTCTGGTGCTAACATCACTACTTTTCACTGATGTATTTGTTGAGGGTGTGGCACTAACATCCCTACTTTTCACTGTTGTATTTGTTGAGGGTGTGGAGCTGACACCACTACTTTTCACTGTTGTATCTGTACCATTAACAGTAACAGATTCTCCATTAGATTGAGTCTGACTAATTTTCTGCCATGTAGGTAAAGCTGCTTTCTTTTCTGTCTCTTTACTATTTCTGTGTTCACTATTATTGCTATTTTCAGACTGATTGTCACTTTGCTTAGAGGTTACAGTTGTTGTAGCTTTCTTTCTTACAACTAGTCCTTTTAATGATTTTTTGCTGTTAAATCCACCCACACTTTTCTCCCAAGCTTCTGGTTTCTTCTCTGTTTTTTGTTGTATAACTGATGAAATCTGAAAAAATATAATTGTTAGGTTATAAGTGGACAAACATAAACAACAATAGGTAACTTGAAGAATAGCATTATTTTATAAATTATGTATATATATACCCCATTATGTATGGGAGCAAGTAGACCTTCTTAATGTTTTTCATTTTTATTGAACATTCTTTTTTCAATATTGTTTGAGAACATATTCGATTAAATTATTAACAGTACTCCTTAAGTGGATGCCATGTTTGATCCAAAAAATTGGTAAGAATTGTATTTCACATAACATTTTAGATTTCTTTGAATGGTCTCAGTACTGTAAACCGGAAAATTTTGTCTGAACAAAGTGAACAATTTTTGTCGTTAAGTTATTTGTAAATTGACTCATATCAAGTAAAAGTAAACCGCTACATTTATGTTTACTTGTAAAAACACATACACTATTAACATAAAAGAATGCTTTTAAATTAGTAAAATCAAATTAGAAGCTGCGAGGATTACAACTTATTAATCAATCTTTTGATCATATTAATAAGTGTAGCAGATTAAATGTTGTAATCATTTGATAAAAACAATTGCAGGTGACATTTACATTTTGTACCTAATTGTCATGAGTGATATTTATATAACAATATCAATAATTTCAGATTCTTTAAAATAGATTTCATATTAATTTGACTGTTATAATGAGTTAAAGGCTTTGGTTTCTTACACTGCCTTTCATTTAGAAATAAAGTTTTAGTTTGTTGTATATATTTGTCGTTTGAAAAACTGTTGTTATGAAGTGGCCCTGTATGCATAATCCTTTTGGTTAATACATTAATAGATGGTCTTCATTCTCCAAATCAGTTCTCTATGAAATATTCAAGGAAGTTTTACTTCCGCGTTTCTACTCTTACCGCGAAAAATAAAACTGCTGTGAAAATTTCCCTGTTTACAGAATCCATCAAGATTTCTATGAAAGTATTATTGCTCTAAACTTTGGAATTATCGATGCTTTACAGATTATTTTGTTTAGTTGTGAAATGTTTATATTACTGACAAAAACTTCCACGTTTGATGGAAGAAAAGGGCTGTCAAATGAATCTTCAAGGGTGTATATATAATTCTCCAAAGATTTTTTTATGATTTTCAAACTGAGTAATTGGTTCATTTATCTGTATGTTCCTTTTTAGCAATGCTGCCATATGGGTTAAGAGGACCAGGAATATTATATGGAAAGAAGACACACCTCTCTTTAACCACTGGGTCAATGTTTTACACAATATCAAAGTTCTTGTGAGCACTGACGGATTAAAATGGCTTTCTTTATATATAATTAATAAAGTGCTTAACATGGGCATTGATAGAATGTAAAGAATTTTCACCTCCTTGTACCATCATCTCTATGTTGTGTGTACTCACAAAGGTAGAAATGAGACCATCAAATATAGCTTAATATAGCTATGGAGTCAGTGAAAATAGCGTTTTTAGTTAACCTAATTAACTGCATACCAAATTTAATTGACTTATAATCTTAAGCGAATTCTTTTAAACTGACCTGATCAAGTAATTGATTCATGACTGAAAGGACAGGGCCAAATAATCTCTATGGAAATGAGATATGCTAATGCTTATACAACTGCAAACCAAATATCAATTTTTGACCCCAATTAAACTGACCTTATCACAAACTTTAACATATCAACTATGCAAAATTTTTGTCAATGGACTATGACTGGGCGGTGGGGCCCAAATGATCTCTATGGAATTGAGATGTGCCAATGCTAAAACATCTCTATACCAAACATTATTGAATTTCCATTTATAAGTCCCTTCAAAGTGACCTAATCACAAACTTTATCAAATTGTTGACACTGTTGCCAGAAACAGCACACCTAGGTCTCACCTTCACAAATTTTTATACAAAACAAATTCAGAAATTTCATAGTACTTCATTATGGTCTTAAATGTTATTTCCATGCTTTACCATTTTTCATACAGATTTTTTTTTGTGAAGTAAATGTACAAATGGCTGGTTCAAGTTTAAAAGTTATTTGACATTCTTTATGAAACCCTTTTATCACCCCTTTCAGTATTATTTATTTTGGTAATAACTGTGTTTACCTGTGACAGAATGTCTGTAGGTTTTTCTGTAGCTAACTTTTTAGTTTTAGGTTTGTCATCGTCACTGTCAGAATCTTCCTGTAATCTCTTCACAGCCAGACCATCCTTTTCACCAAATATAGATCTGTAAACATAATACACAAACATTAATATTAAAAATAAAACAAAAAGATCACAGAAAAGTATACATTTTATCTGGTCAATAAAAAGACAATAGTAATTAAAGACAGGATTAACTCGCAAAAACTTGATTAAATCAAATGAGGATATAACTAAATAGGTCATCTAATTATCACAGATATCCTTGTTAGCAGCAACTAAGAGATAGTGATTTTGTTTCTGTAGCAGCATACTGTTAACTTTAATAAGATGTCATATCTTTACTTTAGTTCAAAGGCAGTGTATAGGTATAAATTTTTTCTTTATCAAATATTCTTTTATGCCATTTAGTGCAATTCTATATACTGGGTAAATATGATGAAAACCGTGGAGTGCAATGAAGACAATAGAAACCAGGCTTACCTGAGGATCTACATTTTAAATCCAAGTGTGATTTGGCTTGGTTACACATTGTGTAATACTGCACTTCAAGAAAACTCTCTCATAAATTCTTGTTGGTAACTAACTTCTTTGGATAAAATAGACAATTTTTTGGTTGCTTTTCAGTACCACAAATCATTTAAGTTTTTAAATTAGGACCTAAGCTCTGATTAAATTAAAAAAAACTTTGCTTAAATCATGCCATCCTTAACTAAACAAAATTGCTTCATCAGGTATGCATCTCACCTGGTGATTATCTGGCTGAGGTAAACATATTTCACTATAACTAACACTTTAATGCACAACTTAGAACATTTACAAGCAAATCGCACTGTGCTCCATAAAATAGTACAACTTTCAAAAAATATGTTAAAATTAGATCTCATATATAACATTAAACACAAATATATATATATTATATAATATAAAACAACAATAAACATTGAACAAATCAATCACCTAATTTCTTTCTCTTCCTCCTCGTCTTGTAATTTCTGTAACTGTTTTTCATACTCCAAATGCATCTCTATGACCTTTGCATGATCTACAGCAGCCTTCCTTGTATTCATATCCCTTATTTCTTCTAAGGCATCAATTGTTTCTATCTCATTTCTACTGGCTTTTGTTCGGTTTTCTAATAACTAAAATTTACAAACACATTTTAAAAATTTCACAATTTCTTTTTGAGTTGTCTCCCATATATAGTTAAATTTCTAAATAAGATTTTTTTAATTAAATATGTTAAAGAAAATTGATACAACAGTGTGAGATTTTTGGAATGCATTTTGGTTTTCAATGCTTTTTTAACTTTAATTGATTTGGTCTTTCAACTGTTGCTATACTGATGAGTTATTTTTTTGGCATAATATATATGTGTGTTTGACCTCATGTAAGACAGGTTTTGCTTGTTTTTGGTTTACCTGCCTTGTCTGGTTGTTTTCTCAGCCCCAAAAAATAATGTGTGCATTTGTATGCACCTGTCCTAAGTCAGGAGCCTGTTGTTCAGTGATTGTCGTTTGTTGATGTGGTTCATAAGTGTTTCTCGTTTTTTATATAGATTAAACCGTTGGTTTTCCTGTTTGAATTGTTTTACACTAGTCATTTTGGGGCCCTTTATAGCTTGGTGTTCGGTGTGAGCCAAGGCTCCGTGTTGAAGGCCGTACTTTGACCTATAATTGTTAACTTTTTACATTGTGACTTGGATTGGGAGTTGTATCATTGGCACTCATAACACATCTTATTTATACTTAAGGGTTTGTTCCCTAAAAATTATAGAGAAGGTTGATTTTTTTAAGTCATCATCAAAATATTGTGTTCTCATAGTAAGTCTGGTATTATATATATATATGGCTTCTGGAGTTCATCAGCTGTTTTTGTGATTTTCAATGGAAGAAGTTAAAATGTTTAACATATCTTTCATTTTGTGTCTTTAATCAATAATGTCACAGTTTTTCATGATATAAGTTAGCAGATACAGGAGCTAATATTTTAGTGAAAAGTTTATGTGATGTTCTCAATAAAATGTTTGATTTGCACTCAAAATTATGGTTTGTCAAGAATCCTTCAGCACATACCCTTTATTGATTCATTTTTTATTCCTATAAAACAACATAGAATACAATGAATCTAGATTTTGGTTTGATATTTCTTGTTACAATTAACATGAAGTAACATAATTTTCTACACATAGTGACAGTGTAACATACTTTCATTGGATTATTTAGTTCTTCCTGTTCTTTTTCTAGTTGTTCTTTCTCTGCCATTTGTTTTGCCAATTTCTCAGCCTCAAATAACCTTGTAGCTCCAGCTTCTAGGACATAGTCTGTGTTTTTTAAATCTGTCTAAAATAGAATAAGAAATATTGTTACAAACTTTACAATATTTTTAATTCACTTCTAATTTGTCTTAAATTAATAATATATGTACAAGTATGAGGAATGAGGCCAAGATATTTGAAAATACACAAACTTATGCTAACATTGGCAAGCTGAAAAAACCCAAAAGGACCAAAAGTATAATCAAATCCAGGCAAGGAATCAGAGAAATGCCTAAGGCAGATATATTTATATTCTTTAAGTTCAAATAGTTTTCTAAGTTATAAAATATAACAACAAATTCAATTTTTAAACAGTATCATTTTTTTCTTGACAGTACGAAGTACTAAGCTGGTGATTCCCTCAATGTAACTTGTCGTATAAGTGATTTCAACATAGTTTTCATCAAGTCATACATATAACAATGTATTATCAGCATTATAAGTCTACAACAAACAATCACACAAGGTCATATTTTTCTCTGACTGTTAATGACATCTTTACATTAAATCCATTGGATGTTGGATGTGTACTAATTGATATTCTAGTCTTAGATACATGATTTCTTCAGTAACTGCGAGATCTCTCAGATCTGTACTTTGTGTCTTTTTTGTTGTTAGGGAAATATATATACCCTGCCAGGTACGGTCTGTGGTTTTTTTACTTGTTTTTCTGCATTGTATCAATCTGATGAGTTAAGCCCTTTTTAACTGATTTTTATAGTCGGTTTTTTTTTGTGCTGTTACACCACTGCCCCAGGTTACCTATAATTGCTTACATCCACTTCATTTGAATTGGGTGGATAGTTGTCTCATTGGCAATCATACCACATCTCTGTATTTTTATATAGTCCTGTTCTGAACTTCTGATTGACAAAATAATTAAATAACAAAAGTGACAATAAAAACTTATTAGCTTAAGCAAAGATAGGTTTAGCCTGAAACTCAAATATTTCTTATTTGCAGATCTAAACCTTTTAAAAGTTTATGTGTAGAAAAAGCTACATTTGCTCATCAATAAGTACCTTAAAAGCAATTTCTGATACACAACTTGGACATTTGATATAAAACCTAAATATTCTCAAACCAAGGAAAGTCTCATCCTCTACATCCTCTTTTCTGGAATTAAATTTCTTTCCTTTGTAAATGTACACACCACAAGTATCACACCTGAAAATAAAAACAGAAACATTAGTATTGTTTCTTTATAATGCTTAATTTCCCACCATTTATGTATACAGAGTCTGTCATTTTGAACTGTGATTAATGTTTTGTTCTTATTTTAAATTGTCTTCTTTTTCTTTATTTGCTTATCAATTGCAAAGGGCATCAAAACAACTGTCTTGAATATGTTTCTTAAGGGAAGTTGGACTATTTTTTCTCCAGTTTTTCATTAACAAGGATAGTTAAGTACAGTGATCCCCATTGTAATAATGTCTTATAATGCACTTCTTATAACATGTCTTGGAGAAGACATTACCATGATTACTATTTTATAAAACTTGTCTAATACTTTTTTTTAGTTTATGAACAATGAAATATGTTTAAACTAACACATCTAAGTCATTGTAAGTGAGAAATATATATACCATGTCTTTTCTCTTCACAACACTACAAATAAAAAAATAAAGGGGGAATGTGTCCATTGGACACAGATGATGCCCCCGCTTACATGTAAGGTTATAAAGGGACATAACTGAAGAATGGTAAAAGAGACGCTACCTTAATTTGTACTTGATCTGAGTTTTGTGGTAATAAGCATTGTGTATAACTTTCATAACATTTGGTTGAGGCAAACTAAAGTAAGAGAACGGAAAAGAAAAATTCAGCAATTTTTCCATTTGTAAAGGGACAACTCTAGAATGGTTAAAGTGACACCACCAAAATTCAGATTTGATCTGTGTTTTGTGGCAATAAGCATTGTGTATAAGTTTCATAACATTTGATTGAGGCAATCTAGAGTTAGAGAACGGAAACCAACTTTGGGACGTACGGACGTACAGACAGACAAGGGTAAAACTTAATGCCCCCTCCGCTACGACGGGGGCATAAAAAAACATGAAAAATATAATGTTACAAACATGCATATATATGTGATAAAACAATTTTTTGACAAATTTGTTGATTTCAAACCTGTTTACAATATACATCTGTAAAACATGTAAATTTATTAAAAAATACTAATAATTTGAGGGAAACACTAGTACATGTACATGTGTAGGAATAGTGAGTATCCTTTAGATCTCTATACTTTTTACCTCATGTTACATGGTGCCATTAAACGTATGTTGAAAGGTCTATTTTTCTCTCTTCTCATCTTAGGGATATTATTCGGATCAAAATCCGCTGGATAGTATTTCTGAAACAGAAATATAAACATGAATGTTGCATATTAAGTAAAAGGAGATTTGGGTATATGTCAATAAGACAGCAATCCAACCATCCAATCAACTAAAATACATCTAGTGGTCAACATATGGTCTTATACAACATGTACAATAAACAAGGTGGCTACATGTACACGTATAATAACATCAGTTAAAGCAGTCATACATGTATATTCTCTATTTCAAAGCTCATCAATGTCAAGGAACAGCAAATGGGCTTTGTCACAGATTTTAGTAACAATTTGCATACATGTACATCTTTGGCTCGTTGAACTATAACTGAAAATCGAAAAGATAATACATTTCTCTCTTTTATCCTCTGAATATATTACTGATTGAATTCTTTCAAGAGAGAAGCGAAAGATACCAAAGGGTCATTCAAACTCATAAGTCGAAAAAATAAACTGACAACTACATGGCTAAAAAAGAAAAAGACAAACAGACAAACAATAGTACACAAAAAACAACATAGAAAACTAAAGACTGAGCAATACGAACCCCACCAAAAACTGGGGGTGCTCTCAAAAATAGGTGAACATTTGTATAGAAGGGCCAAACAACATGAACAACCAGTGAAAAGTTTTTCTTAAAAAACTATATGTTGTTGATACTAAAATTTCCATTTTCATGATACAAAATAATAAGTGGTCACCAACTTCCTTTATGTTTACAATGTTAACCCGAGTTCAAATGATATGGATGTCATCAAAATGTCATTGTATGGCATTCAAAAAATAGTGAAATTTTTCAAAAATTCAATGAAGGTTTGACAAAATTATTGTTGTCACAAAAACTTTAAAATAAGACTACGTTGTTTATCTAAATGCTAACTGCAATAAATAAGACTGTTTATAAGTTGAATATAGAAAAATGTTAAAACAAAATTGTGTATATTTCATAATTAATAGCTTCTTTGAAAGACAGAATTGGAATCTTCGACTTCACACTTGTGATTTCCTTGAGTTTCTTCTCAGCGTAACCATAGTAACAATCACATGATCATTGTAAGCCTAGCATACTCGCCCAACCTCATTTTTGCTTCTACGCTGGAGCAGTAAGCCAGGATCCAAAGCAAGATTATTGCATAATTTATTTACGGTCCTCTCATGATTTACCATTACACAAAGCAATGAATGTAAAGGGGTTTTGACAAGTGTTTAGAAGTTTTCAGGTTGTCTGTGTGTCCGTCAATTTTTCAGTTAAAATTTGTAGACAAAAAGCACATACAATGTATTCATACACTTTTAGACAGCTGGAGGATGATTTTAATGATGATATTTTCGACTCATCTACTGTAATAAGACAGTGTCCTGTGGATGCACTGGTTCATGAAATAGCTAAAATAAAATGCTTCGCTGGGGCGCAGCTTGATACGACCGCAGAGGTCGAACCCTGAACAGTTGGGGCAAGTATGGACACAACATTCAAGCTTGATACAGCTCTGAATTTGGATTGTTATTAAATATTTGACACAGCATAGGTTTCTGACACAGAAAGAATGTGGTCTAAGAAATTGAATTTTTTTAATTTACCTATTATGGTCCAATGTCCAAAATCAAAATACATGATTAGATTCAGCATATCAAAGAACCCCATATATTCAATTTTTGTTAAAATCAAACAAAGTTTAATTTTGGACCCCAACTTGGACAAACTTGAAAACTGGGCCCATAATCAAAAATCTAAACACATGTTTAGATTCAGCATATCAAAGAACCCCAAGAATTCAATTTTTGCTAAAATCAAACTAAGTTTAATTTTGGACCCTTTGGACCTTAATGTAGACCAATTTAAAAAACGGGACTTAAAATTAAAAATCTAAATACACGGTTAGATTTGGAATATCAAAGAACCCCAATAATTCAATTTTTGATGAAATCAAACAAAGTTTAATTTTGGACCCTTTTGACCTCAATATGAACCAATTTGATAGCGGGGCCCACAAATAAAAAATCTAAATTCATGGTTAGATTCAGCATATCAAAGAACCCCATATATTCAATTTTTGTTGAAATCAAAAAAAGTATAATTTTGGACCCCAACTTGGACCAACTTGAAAACTGGGCCCATAATCAAAAATCTAAACACATGTTTAGATTCAGCATATCAAAGAACCCCAAGAATTCAATTTTTGTTAAAATCAAACTAAGTTTAATTTTGGACCCTTTGGACCTCAATGAAGACCAATTTAAAAAACGGGACCCAAATTAAAAATCTAAAAACACGGTTAGATTTGGCATATCAAAGAACCCCAATAATTCAATTTTAGATGAAATCAAACAAAGTTTAATTTTGGACCCTTTTGACCTCAATATGAACCAATTTGATAGCGGGGCCTACAAATAAAAAATCTAAATACATGGTTAGATTCAGCATATCAAAGAACCTCATATATTCAATTTTTGTTGAAATCAAACAAAGTTTAATTTTGGACCCCAATTTGGACCAACTTGAAAACTGGGCCCATAATCAAAAATCTAAATACATGTTTAGATTCAGCATATCAAAGAACCCCATATATTCAATTTTTGTTGAAATCAAACAAAGTTTAAATACTGGACCCTATCTTGGACCAACTTGAAAACTGGGCCCATAATCAAAAATCTAAACACATGTTTAGATTCAGCAAATCAAAGAACCCCAAGAATTCAATTTTTGTTAAAATCAAACTAAGTTTAATTTGGACCCTTTGGACCTCAATGTAGACCAATTTAAAAAACAGGACCCAAAATTAAAAACCTAAATACACGGTTAGATTTGGAATATCAAAGAACCCCAATAATTCAATTTTAGATGAAATCAAACAAAGTTTAATTTTGGACCCTTTTGACCTCAATATGAACCAATTAGATAACGGGGTCCACAAATAAAAAATCTAAATACATGGTTAGATTCAGCATATCAAAGAACCCCATTTATTCAATTTTTGTTGAAATCAAACAAAGTTTAATTTTGGACCCCAATTTGGACCAACTTGAAAACTGGGCCAAAAATCAAAAATCTAAATACATGTTTAGATTCAGCATATCAAAGAACCTCATATATTCAATTTTTGCTAAAATCAAACAAAGTTTAATTTTGGACCCTTTGGACATTAATGTAGACCAATTTGAAAACTGGACCCAAAATTAAAAATCTAAATACACTGTTAGATTCGGCATAACAAATAAATAAATGTGATCAAAGATTTTACAAATCTAATGCGCCATACTGTGCAATTAAAGATTACTTCTTGAAATTTTTCAATATTTGAAATTTGAAAAAAAAATAATATTTGAAGAATAATTCTTTTTAATTTCTGAAATCTGAAATGAGAAAAAATTGGCCCCCCACAATTTCTTTTTATCCCCCCCCCCTTTTTCCCCCAAAAAAATTCTTTCCCTCAAGATATGGTCATAATCTCAATTCAAATTTCCAATGGAGTTGGCAACCATAATTACCCATTTAAATTTACCATAGTGCTAACTTAATCTATTTTATAATAGAATTAATAAAAATATAGTGTCAAATCTTTCATATGGATTTTTTTGTAAAAAAAAAAGATGAAAACATTTGCAGATATTTTTACTGGTCTTCCTTTATAAATATGCATTTCTGTAAACATAATTTAAAAGCAGTGTAAGGGAAGTAACCAAAACGTTGTATTTGGATTACCTCCCTTACACTGTTTTAGATTATCTTTATTGTTCATTAACCATTACTTTATACATAATTTAAAAGCAGTGTAAGGGAGATAATTTCAATGATGTATTTGATTTATCTCCCTTACACTGCTTTAAATTATGTTTTGTACTAAAGTATTTGTCCATTAACCAGGACAACCTTGTTTTTTCCCCTTTTTTGCCCCTAATTCCTAAACGGTTTGAACCATAACCCCCCAAAGCAAATCCTAACCATCCCTTTGTGGTATGGAAACTTGTAGTATAATTTCAGAGAGATCCATACACCGTTCCACAGTTATTGTCTGGAAACTAGAAAATGCTCATTTTTGGCCCCTAATTCCTTAACTGTTGGTACCATAACCCCCAAAATCAATCCCAACCTTCCTTTTGTGGTATTTAACCTTATGGTCAAATTTCAAAAAGATCCATTCACTTAAACTAAAGTTAGAGTGCGAAAACCAATATGTATTCGGACGACGACGCCGGACGACGACGACGACGCCGGAGACGACGACGACGCCAACGTCATACCAATATACGACCACAAAATTTTTTTGCGGTCGTATAAAAAATCATGCATCCAATAACTCATTGTCTTTGTGTGAGTTGTCTTTGGTCTGAGTTTTCCTGATTACATAATACTATGCATGCCCTTAATAACATACACAAACAATTTTGTTAAACTGGTATGCCATTCCATCTTAAAGCTCCCCTCTAAAGTAAGTGAAGCAACAAGCAAACATTAAAAGACCTTGACTTTTATAATTTAAAAATGAAAAGTCCTCTCCTAGAAAAGACAGGTCCCAGACCTCGGACCCACACTAATTTGAACCCCTGCATTCCCTCTTCAGAAACATTATCTGTTTGAAAAAGTGTCATTTTGGATTGACTCTGGCATTTACATAATAGAATCCAGTACAATCAGAATTACTGTTGTGGCCAGAACTCAGTGAAATTCAGATTATTAAGTTGTCATGAATCCACTGTACCCTCGCAGCTCTCAAATGATGCTCCAAATAACGGACGAATCTACATGCATACATCATACACATACAGGCTTAATAAGATATTTCACAGTACTGATTTTCTTTATTGTTAAATAAACACAAATATAAAAAGGAAGATATCAAAACATCAGGATTTTTAACAGAAAGGTAACAGATCCAAACAGTTCGTTTGTTTTACTTTTACCATGTTTACTCTATTTATTCAAATCAATCTGAAGAGTACGAGTTTTATCTAATGTAAAGCACAAAACGGTAAAGTAGAAATGGGCCAACAGTATAAGTCATAAGATAGCTTGGCAGCTATCTTTTCCAAAAAACAAAGACAGACGAAACGGCGAAGGGTTCAATTTCCCAAGACGAAAACGTTTGTGAACTCTATATTATCAGCATTTTCTTTCATTCTATACGATAAGATATACATACGTTTAAAACTTTTCTTTCCGACATCTTTAGGCTTTCTGTAAAACGATAATAATATTCTGTAAAATAAAAAAAGCAAACGTAGTTGTATCCGGAAATATCAACGGGTAGTTAATATCAAGCTAGTCACGGACCCGATATGTCCCATGATCCGGACACTAACTGATTAGTGACGCACTTTTTTCTTTTCATTTATTCAAACTGTTAGATATATTGTTTTTACTTATATATTTCATGATTTGCATTGTAATGTATTTTTTTATTTTATTAGAAGATCCAATGATAATAAAAATAAAATCCTTGCTTGGATTATTATCTGAAGTTTTTTATAGTCTTCCTGGGACTATTATACCAACTGTCAATATATTATGTCCCAGAGTCTTCTACTTTTTTTTGTTAGCATATTCCACTTTCGTTTAGGGAACTAACATTTGATTTTTATTGGGGGGGGGGGGGGGGGGGGGAGCGGCAGGATGAAAAATGTTGTCCTGCATTTATTTTTTAGTTTTAATCTCTGTTCTGCCTTTTTATTTTTCACTCTATTCGGTCCTGCCTTTTTTATTAGTTTATCATGACTTTTTTTTACATAAATTGTCACCCCTGCTTTTTTTTTTTTTGCAAAGTTGCTCATCCTGCCTTTTTTTTACTCAAAACTCCTGTCCTGCCTTTTTTTTGAAATTTCATCCTAGCCCCCCACCCCCCCCCCCCCCCCCCCCCCCCCCCCCCCCCCCCCCCATAAAAATCAATTGGTAGCTCCCTTAATAAAATTCACTGATATTTAAAGTTGTACCGCTGAAACTTTTTGCAATATATTTTTGTCTCTCACAAAAAAATCTACACTTACATTAGTCTCTCCAAGTGTTAACATCAAGTGGTGTGAGTGAGTGTGTGTTTTGTTCCACTCACGGGACCCAACTTGTGTATATAGCGTCATGACAGTCAGGAAAATGGTTTGGTCAAGGCAACAGACAACAGCAAGCAGTTCACACATACACCTGTCAGCTTCTTATATAATCGTTTCTACCCATTTCTCACATCAGGGACACTTTCATCTCTCTATAATCAACTGTGACAACACACCATAATTAAGGGATCTTGTAGCTTACATGGATCGTCAATTGTTCAACAATAAATGGAGTCGGGCAGATCCTGCCATTTTTAAAAGCGGGGTCCAACCCCGGATAAAGGGGGGGGGGGGGGTTCCAACCATATGTCCCCATTCAAAAGCATTGATTGTCAAAAAAGGGGGGTTCTAACCCACGGACCCCCCCCCCCCCCCTGGATCCGCCACTGGGAGTGATCACGATTGCAGACTGGTGTATCTTCAAGAGAACAGCCATACACTAATGTCGTAGAAGGTATTTATCATTATATTTTGTTAAAGATATTATATATACAATTTGTGATATACGTCAATGAGATAATATATCTAAATACTTGAAGGCCGTACGGTGACCAATAGTTGTTGACTTCTATGTCATATAGTCTCTGGTGGAGAGTTGTCTCATTGGCAATCATATCACATCTTATTGTTTTTATATACAATTAGGAATAAACGTCAATGAGAAACTAGATGTTTCTTAATTAAGCATACAAAGTGAAATAAACACCAATGAGAAAATATATGATATAATTTAATATATCTGTTTATAACAACAAATACATATTTATTCAAAACTGTTATAAATAAAAAAATATATATATATTTATGGAGCCATATATCTTTTTTTTTTTATTCTTAATCCATTGTATTTTTATTTCAGGATCATGATAGGAAATTCAAGTTCTTGGATATCGTATCAACTGGGAGATATATATTCCATATGCAGGTGCTGCTTGAATGTGGCTACATAGCAATCAAAAGAAAGCTAAAATCATATCTTTTGTCGTAAAATTTTGTTCTCAACCGACCCTCATTGTCAATTTCTAGATGTAAGTCAAGATATGAGACAGTCTTATATATATATGCAACTACAATGTTCAATTATAAACACGTGATACAGGATCTCAATATTGACGACTTCAAATCTAAACCTTCCCCACGTATAAATAATCCGGTTGGCCACGTTATTACTGGTGACCTGAAGTTGAACATTCCCATTTTTTTAATTTACCTAGCAGTACGGTATTTTTGTTTATTCTTTTTCTCTTTACAACACTTCTCTGAAATGTGTTAAACAAAGAACCAAACATCTAAATCCATCATTTGAACAAAAATGTAAAACATGCTACACAGAGGAACAAGTGATTAGTATGCTGGAGTTTCTTCTTGACAACATATTTGTTGAATTTGGAGGTAGACTTTTTCAACAAATTGTCGGCATTCCTATGGGAATGAAATGTGCGACTCTCCTTGTCGACTTCTTCTTATTTTCATATGAGTCGGAGTTCCTTCAGACACTTGTCAAAAACAAGAAGGTTAAAGAAGCCAGCTCATTTAATTTCACATTCAGATATATTGATGATGTACTTTCCATCAACAATCCAAACTTTTCTGATTGGGTTCCATTAATATATCCTCCAGAACTAGAAATTAAAGAATCAACAGACACGGCTTCCTCCGCCTCATTTTTAGACTTATACCGTGAATTTGGCATAAACGGTCATCTCAGTGCCAGAATCTATGACAAACGAGACGATTTTAATTTTGAAATTATAAATTCCCCCACCTTAGCAGCAATATGCCAACTTAACCTGCATATCGGATATACACTTCCGGGGCACCTGAGATCACCCCCAGTTTTTGGTGGGGTTCGTGTTGCTTAGTCTTTAGTTTTCTATGTTGTGTAACCTTTACTATTATTTGTCTGTTCGTCTTTTTATTTTTGGCCATGACGTTGTCAGTTTGTTTTCGATCTATGAGTTTGACTGTCCCTCTGGTATCTTTCGTCCCTCTTTCCCAACTTATTCGGTATTCAAGAGCTTGCAGCTGCTACTCAGACTTTAGAAAACGTCACCAGTGTCTGAGCAGAAAGTTGACGAACCAGGGTTATGTCAAAGAATGTCTCGTCCTTTTTCTAAAAAAATAGTTCATTGGAAGATCCCAAGACATTGTTGATAAATATTCCATATCAGCTTCACAAATAATACATGATCGTCTTGAAGTAAAGATTCTAGGTACTGACGTTGGTTATCATCTTGATAACGTGTTATGGTGTTCTTTTTATTTGTCTTTGTATATTTTAAACTTTAACTGTTAAGTCCGTTTTTGGAAATATACTTTTGGCGTGCATGGCTCGGTATTTATACATCCCACCATTGTGTTATTGTACTATGGTCATTTTTTTTGTATTCTTGTCTTTCATTGTTGCTTACGTACTTTGTCTATAGAGTGTCTATATGATATTTTGTTTTTCTTTGTTGAAATAGTTATTTGCTTTTATAGTGATTAAGATTATAACACAATGTTGACTGTTGTACCCCAATTTTTGACATTTTTATTTATTATATCGTTTTGTTTTGCTCACACATTGTTGTCAATATAATGTAATTATATACGACTGTCATACAAGTTAGATGTTTGGCTAGTTATAAGACCGGAGTTAACCCACCATTTTCTACATAAGGAAATGCATGTACCAAGCCAGGAATATGACAATTGTTTTCCATTCGTTTGATATGTTTGAGGTTTTTATTTTGCCATTTGATAAAGGACTTTTCGTTATGAATTTCCTTGGAGTTCGTTATTTTTGTTATTTTACTTTTTGGAAACACCACTTAAAATATCGATAGATTCAGTTACTGATTATGGCCGACAATGCCGGGCCTAAACGTGAAAATGAAGATGTGGATAATCATTTTGAATTGGTTAAGGCTGCAAGGTCGTTGATAGGTTAACTCATCAAAGATAAAGGGGTTATAATTTGGTATGCCAAACGAGCGTTTCTTCTGCATAAGACTACTTATAGGAGCTCGATTCAAAACAGTTAGAAGGCCAAATCGAATACAAAGTTGAAAAGCATTCAAAAATGAAAAGTTCAAAAAATTGTGCCAGATACGGCTAAAGCAATAAATGAATTGGGGTATACAAACTTAAGTGTTTCAAATAATTCAATATTTTATAAACAGTAAATTTACAGAAAATTAACATATCTTTGATATTACATGTCAACACATAAGTGCTGAATACTAGGCTGATGATACAATCACGGATAAAAAGTTCATCAGCAGTGGCATCGACCCAGGGGTTGCAAAAACTCAAAGATACCAGGCTTATAATTTGGTACGTTAGACCACGTTTCGTCTACATAAGACTCATCAGTGGCGCTCGAATCAAAACAGAAAGAAAGGCAAAATCGAATACGAAATTGAAGAGCATTAAAAACCGAGAATTTCGAAAAGTTGTGCCAAATACGACTAAGGTAATCCATACCTGTATGTAGACATACCTTAGTGTTTAGAATAATTCAATATTTTATAAACAGCAAATTTACAGAAAATTAACAAATTAGAATTAAAAAACTGAATGCGTTTATGGACAATCATTCTACATCTATTTTTAAAGACCTAAATTTCCATATACACTTTTCCTACCTCCATGACATTCATGTTGTTGTCCCAGCAGATAAAACCTTGAACAACATTGTTAAATATTAATAAAAAGTCATTTTACATAAACTACCTGATAACGGAATTAGGTATTGACAATTCACTTGAAAGTAAACATATACTCCAAAGACACTTACAAAACATGAAATCCAGAACAATCATTTGTCTGTTCTAAATTCCTTTTCAATTTCAACAAAAGAATAAGAAATGGCTCTCCCTTGACTGTACTGTATATCAATAATACATAAGTGTCCTTACAAACAACGTTATATTGCTGGGTCTGTCAAGTACTTCAAGAACCCTCCTTTTAAAAATTCTCTGAAACTGACATCATAAAGTTGGCTGATTTGTTATTGACAATATATTTGTTACGTTTGGAGGACGTGATTTAAATAAATAACTGGCTTTCCTATGGTAACCAACTGTGCTCCTATTTTTTTGCCGACTTGTTCCTTTATTCATATGAGACAGAAATCATACAGGAGCATCTCAGGAAGAACATTAAAACTACCTAGCATTATTTTTTTAACTTTACATTTCGCTATATAGA